GAGGGTTTGTCGTGAGTCAGAATCAACTCAGAAGCAATAGATAATGTTTTTAATAGTAACCACTTGTCAAAAAAGTTTAGAAGACATCTTGATGGGAAAGGAGGAGAGTTGAAGAAAGAGAGGAAGAGCCCTTAACAAGATGGATTGACACATTGGCTGTAACAGTGTTGTTGTTGTTAGGTGCTCTCGAGTCAAGTGTGACTCATTGACTCATAGCCAACCTGTAAACAATAAAGTGAAGTCCTCTCCTATCCTGTGCCATCATCCTCATCTCTGCAATATTCAAGCCCATTACTGCCGTCACTGTGTGTCAGTCCATCTCATTGAGGGTCTTCCTCTCTTTCTCTAACCCAGTAACAATAGGCACAAGCATATCAGAGATTATGAGAGGAGATGGTCCAGGCGAGGATTAGGGTTGCTATGAGTCTTAGTTGGCTCGATAGTACCTAACAACCACTCATCATAGGCATTGAAAGAGGTGCATGCATGATCTTGCACAAAGGGCATAAATATTAAAAAGGAATTAGTTAACAAGAAGGGAGCTCCGGTGGCATAGTCCAGGTCCAGGAGGAGCTGTGCTACTAGCCCAGAGGCCACACACACCTCTCAGCTAGTCCAAATCCACAGGTGACTCCAAGGGAGAAAGAGGTCCAGACTCCTCCCATGCGATTTACAGTCTCCATAAACACACTGGAGGATTAGCTGAGTCAGGTCTGACTTGACAGTGAAGTGAGGTAGTTAATAAGAAGTAGGGATAGAGTAAGGAACCAAAGTAATTTTGAAGAGGAATAAAGTAGTAGACTGCACATTCCCTGATTACAAAACACAATAAGAAGCCACAGTTATCAAAACAAACTTCCACTGGTATAACAGAACGCAAACCAGTGAGAGAGAATTGGGAGTCCAGGAACAAGCCCATACTATACTGTTGGGAGCTCGGATGGCAAGCAGCTGAGCTGCAATCCCAAAAGTCCACGGTTCAAGGCCATAAGGTGCTTCGTGGGAGAAGGATGGACAATCTCCCATGTAATTAACTGCCTCTGACAACCTGCCGGAGGGTCAGCTATGAGTCGGTTCCGACACAGTGGTACACAACAACACTATGTCATCTGTTTTTGAATATGGATCTTTCAATGGGGAAATAAGAATCTCTGTAATTAGTAGTATTTAGAAAGATTAGATTTATGCATGGAGAAGAATGAGTCAAAATCCCTGTCTTCATACTGTACCAAAAGCAATTCAGCATTATATGACATTAATATGAAGACTAAAAAAAATGTAATATTCTTAGAAGAAATACAATAATTATTTAAATATAATAACTACAGTAGATAATTTTTAAACAGTGGGTTATATGTAAGTAATTGTAACAAAAGGAACCCCATAAATTAAATAGTATATCAAAGGACTTCATAAAAAATTGAAGAAACAACTACAGATTAAGAGGGATGAATCAGGAGTTCTACTCCAATATTTATACCCAAGAGACTTTAAATTGGCAACAAAAGCAGACCCACGTTAACTAGTGTGCATTGCAGCACTACTCACAATAGCCAAGAGATAGAAACAAATGTCAATCACAGGATGAATGGAAAACAAATGCGGTCTCTCCGTGCACTAGAGTATCACTCAGCCAGAGGGAGAGTGAAGATCTGCTCTATGTTCATTCATGAATCTCAAAACCCTTACCTCAGGAAAACAAAAAGACAAAGATTGATGATTCTCTTATATGAAGTAATCATAACAGACTAATATATAAAGACCAAAATTTCTTAATAGTTCCTCTACCATAGTGTAGACCTCTAGAGAAAGACATCATGCTTGGTAAATGTCGGAGTCAGTGATGAGGAAGACCCCCCAGGAGATGGATTGACACAGTGACTGTAGAAATGTACTGATGCTCAGGAGAGATTGTGAGGCTGGCGCAGGTCAGGCAGGGCTTCGTTATGTTGTTCATAGGGTGCTGTGGGTCAGAAATGACTGGTGGTTGTTATGTGCCGAACCGACTCAGCTGGCCCTCCAGCAGGTTTTCACAGGCACTCAGTCACCCATGAGGAGATTGCCCATCCTTCTCCTGCAGACAAGCCGGTGCATTTGAACTGTGTGCCTTCAGATTTCAGCGCTGCTTCTTACCTAAATACAACAAGGGGCAGGAGGCAGTCAGAAAGAGGGAGTTTTGCTGATGAATGTTTGTTTATGGTCCTGAGAAACTGAGCAATGACAGTGGGTGGTAGTTGGAAATACTTAATATAATCCATATGAGTAAATTGTACACCTGCAGATTGTTGAACCTGAAACCCAGGATTTCAGCTTTTAGAATTAGACAATTAGATGACAGGTAACAACATTCCTATTGAGATGAGAAATAGAGCACAAGGAAGAGGAAGTAAGTTTGATCTGCACTATTCTAGGTTTGAATATTTTTTTAGGATAATTACTAATACAAAAATCTTTCTTTAGTTTTGTAACTCACTGGGAAGTGTCTAATAACAGCTAAAATATTAATTATAGACTTTGTGAAAAAAATTAAGTGAATCTATAAAATGATAAAATAATTAAATAAATAAAATAATAATGGATTGATTCAGTGACTGGGGTGATCAGGATGGGTGTGTCGGAGGCAGTGCAATTGGCACAGGATAGAGCAGGGTTTAGGGCTGTTGTACACAGGGTCGCTGAGTCGCAAACGACTCGACGGCACATAACAACAACAACAACAACATAAAATAATAGGGATGATGGAAAGAGAATTGATGCCTTTGAGCTGTGGTGCTGGAGAAGAGTGAATATACTGCTATATATAGACTGCTAGGAGAACAAATGGGTTGGTCCTGGAGAGGGTGAAGCCAGAATGTTCCCTGGAGTCAAGGATTCTGAAGCTTCGTCTGACATACTTTCGCCATGTTGCAAGGAGGGGACTGGTCCTTGGAGAGGGACCTCATGTTTGGCAGAGTGGAGGAATGGTGCAGGAGAGGAAGACCCTCGATGAGATGGATCGATTCTGTGAGTGGAGTGGTGGGAATATGTGCATTTGAGATGGCTGGGTTGGCACAGGATAAAACGGCGTTTAGGGCTCTTGTACATAGGGTCGCTATAAGTCACAAACCACTCGATGGCACATAACAACAGCAACACCCCCCCAGAAGCATCTTAAGTCTTTTATTAAGAGTCTTACTTTCTTGACTTTTGCAAAATTAGGTCTGGTTCCAATAAACATCAGCGTGTTTGCTAAAAATTTGTCAATGCAAAACGAAAAGATTTCTGTTACTTTGAAAGGTTAAAAACTGCTGTGTCTTTGTGATACTCATTGTTGTGACTTTCCCTATTAATTATCTAAAAGTCAAATGTCTTCTGCTTACTAATAGTTATCATGTGGTCATTAGGGATGGTAAGTGATGGCAGTGAGATCAAAGAATCATGGTTGATTCTACAGTAAGCTAGGAAGCTGGAAATCCTGCTTCTGGCTTTAGCTCAGGCGGAGGTTTTGGTGATACTTTCTGAACACACTATGTCTCAGCTTCTCCATCTGTTATACTGAGCTTACAACTGCTCTGATCTAACTCACAGAAAGGTTGCATGGACAAAGTAGGTAAGTGTAAGTGTGCTTCCGAGGTAAAGCTGCTCTGTGAACACCATTAGTGGAAGTGACTAGAATGGTTAATCTTTGCAGACTTCTTGACCAAATAAGGCCTCACAATGGATTTCCACCAAGCAAATCAAGCATGCCATGGAATTTAGTTGTGGTGGTGTTGTTGAGTACAATCAAGTCAGAACCGACCCATAGCAGACCCTCCAGCAGGTTTTTAGAGGCAGTGAATTGCACAGGAGGAGACTGCATATCTTTCTCCTGCTGAGGAGCTGATGGGTTTGAACCATAATGCCTTCAGGATTGCAGTGCAGCTCCTCACCACTAGGCCACCAGAGTTCCTTAGTAGTTGATTACTGTATAGTCTTTCATGGGGGTGAAGGGGAAATCTCATTACAGACATCTGTTTCTTTGAAACTAATATGCATTAAAGATTGATCATGTGTGAATTAAGTAAAACTTCCCACCAAGTAGCTTCTGAGAATCCATAATATCTAGCTTACAGGTTCTGTAACTTGAGGAGGATATGGTTTAATAACTTAGTGCTATTCAAATCAGAACCAACTCATAGCTGGTCATTCTAGCAGATTTCCAAGACATAAATTGCATGAGGAGATTGTCCATCTTTATCCCAAGGGGCTATTGGTAGCGTCAGACCACAAGAGAGGTGTAGTGTTTTGGTTAGCAAGGCTGCTCCCTATGGACTAGGCCACCACAGTTCTATATGTATTTAACAGCATTGAGAAAGTCTATAAAACAATGTGGAGAGAAGAAAAAGAAATCAATAGAGTATTTTTTCAGGTAACAATTACTACCAGCTTTAAAATTACCACTAGCAAATAGATTAAGATTCTTTCATTGATCTTATAAAAATATTACATGTTTCTCATGCTCAGTCCTGGCTCTAATGCAGATTCACTCATTGCAGCTCAGTAAAACATAGAGTAGCATAATCTTCTAGGAAAGAAAAATAGTGAGAAGCAGAAAAATTGTTTCTTGCCATAATCCTTTAAATGCTCTTACCTCTGCTCCCAAGGGAGCTCTAGTGGCATAGAGTCCACAGGGAGTCTAACTGCTGACCTAAGGGCCATGCCTCTGGTGGCTCCAGTCCACCAGTGGCTGAATGGTAGATGAACAGTCACCTCCTGTGTGACTCACAGCCTCGGAAATGCAGTGGAGGGTTGGCCATGTTTTGGTTCCTACTTGACAGCAACAAGTTTCTGAGAAATCTACTTCCCTTTACTCTTCAGCTATACTCAGAGAGCCCTTTGTTAATTTGAACACTCATGTGTTCAGTTCTTGAGGAGAATTGAGCAAGTATTTAATTGGTCAGAAGCTGCATAAAAGAGATCCTGTGCAGGCTAACTTCAGAAACATTTCTTTTTCAGCCAAATTTATCTCCTTTCTCTAACAGGGGACCGTTTCTAGTGGCACTGGGTAAATCTTGGCACCCAGAAGAATTTAACTGTGCTCATTGCAAAAACACTATGGCCTACATTGGATTTGTAGAAGAAAAGGGAGCCCTGTATTGTGAGCTGTGCTATGAGAAATTCTTTGCTCCTGAATGTGGTCGATGCCAAAGGAAGATCCTTGGAGTAAGTATTAGAAAACATACTATTTTCTGTAAGTTTTAAAAACAGAGTGATTTTCTGTTATGATACTCTTTTGTCATCAGTAATTTTTATTTTCTTCTTCTCTCACATCTCTGCTTTTGTTACTGTGTTGTTAATATAAAGAAAAGCTAGATAGGCTTAGAGAGAAGCATGTCAGACTCATGGGGTTAGCTTGTCTTTGGTTTTGTCTTCCTGAGTGCTGGCTTGTCTGGTGAAAGTCTGGTCACCGTGGAGGTAAAAATAATTTACTGTGGGTGTGCTGCTTCACCAGGGCCCTGTTTGCTCAGTAACGGAGACCTTGCACAGGACCACACACATCAGGGTTCTCAGCACTGACACCTTCACTGTTTTAAATTAAATTCCATAGCTTTTTAAGAGCAGCATTTCCCCAGTTGTCAGGGTTCAAGTGTAGGACACAGATTTCATGAATTGTATAAAACGTGAGACTTATAAATGATATGTTTTTCTTGAATATATATAATGCTTAAAAATATAACTTTGGTTTTATGAGAGTACATATGTGGTGGAAAAATAATTTCAAACTCATACTTTTTTTTAACCAAAAGAGTAATTTAGGAATCAGATACCTAATAAATAATTATGAATGAATAAATTTCCTGCTATGGAATACACAGTTTGCAATTATAAAGTAAGGCTCAGTTTACTATTATGAGTGAGCAGGAACTGGGATTTTATTTTAAAGGCAGCCAAGTTGCATGGCCTCATTTAAAATTTAGAACGAGATTTCTGAATTCTAATATTCTTAAAATGAAAATACAGTCATGAAATTTTCATTCCTAATGACTCAAGTAATGTTAATATTAATTATTGTGTTGTTGTTGTTTTGTGTACCATTGAGTGAGAACTGACCCTCCAGCAGGTTTTCAGAGACAGTTAATCACAAGGGAGGAGACTGCCCACCCTTCTCCTGAGGAGCATCTAGTAGATTCAAACCGTGAACCTTTGGGATTGCAGTACAGCTTCTTACTACTAGGCACCTGATTTTATATTATCTCTTTAAATTTTAAGTTTTTAAATACCTCCTTAAAATATTGAGGGTCCTCAAATTAATTGAAATATTTTTATATTATTATGAAACCCTGATGACATAGGTTAGAATCCTAATCTAAAGATTGGAGCTTTTCCACAGAGAAAGGCACTCTTTATAACCAAACCAGACCAACTGTTATTGAGGCAGTTTTGACTCATAATGAGTGTCTTTGAGGTTTCTGAGGTTATAAATCTTAATGGGAAGATATTTCCTATTTTGTTTCTTTGGAGCAGTTGGTGAATTTGAACCACTGACATTTTGGTTGGCAGCACAGGATACTATGCACTGTGTTCCCAGAGCTTCTTTGGCAGTCTTTACATCTTTGGAAATCCAGTGGAGATTTGCTATGAGTTTTAAACAACTAAAAAGCCATGGATTTTTAAGTGGAATGATTCAACATGAACTTCTCTGAATAATGACAAATATTAGTGTAGTATACAAGAATAATTTTTAGTGTGTAAGTGTGCTCTGTGGATCAATAATTAATACAGTAATAAAGCAAAAGTTAGTAAGAGTTATTTTTAGAAGCAAATAAGGTTCTCCCTCACTGCTATAGAGCTGGAAACGACTCATAGCTGATCTTTCAGCAAGTTTTCGGGAGGCAGTAAATCAGGAGGTACCAGAGGATATGGCCTGTTTTTCTCTCATGGAGCTACTGGTGGAGTTAAACCATTAGATAATTGTCACTGCTGTGTTATTGTTTGCTCTGAAGTCAGGTACAACTCGTAGCAGCCCTGTGAACAACAGACCTAAACCCTGTCCTACCCTGCCCTGTCCTATCCCATCTTCATCACCTCTGACACACTGGGACTAATTGCTTTAGTCACTGTGTCTATCTGTCTCGTTGAGGATCTTCCTCTCCTCTCTGACAGTCCATCTTTCCAGACATGATGTCCCCTTCCATGTCTCCTAGTACCATGCCCAAAGTATGAAAGACCAAGTGTTACTATCTTTGCCTCCAAGAAGCACACTGGCTGCACTTTTTCCAAGATATGTCTCTCTGTTCTTCTTGCTGATAAGTAATCCACATGAAAGGCGGGTTTCAAGTCCTACCAACTTTCAGCAAGCAGCGTTCTGTCATCTACCTCACACATGGTAGTAAATGTAATAGCGCTTTTTGGATGATCTGCAGCAATATTTTGCTTGAATGTGATATTCATGATTGTTCAATAATTTTCACGTTCTCTTGAATCACCTTTCTTGGGGATGGGAATGAATATGGATCTCTCCTAGTCAGTCAGCCAGGCAGCTGTCCTCCGGATCTCCTGGGCATAGACTGAAGAGCCTGTTCAGGATTACAGCTGTTAGTTGAAACATGTCACTTACTATCCTGTCAGTTCCTGGAGCTCATTACTTCATGGATAAACCAGAATTTTACTGAAAGGGTAGATTCTCAGATGGCATTTTATTAATTTGATGACCTGTTAAAGAATAGGAATATGTGTAGGTGTGAAAAGGGATGTAAATGCTTAAAACTACGGAAAATGGTTATGATTGAGTGTACTTTGTTGTAAATATCCATGATGATTTTTTTATATCTAACTGACTGCCACTTTATTAGTGAATTATGGCATGTCCTAATGCTAGCTCCTCATTTTGCATAATTTTGCTTTGTTTTCACAATATTTTATTATAAATGCTTTTATCCTAGAAGAATTGTAAAAATCAGAGAGTCACTTTAAAAGATGCACTCAGAGGTGCGGTGGTAAGTGCGAGGCTGCTAATCAAATGACTGGCTGGCTGAATCTACCAGATGTTCAAGGAAAGGTAGATGTGGGATCATGTAGGATCCTGCCTTCAAGATTCATGTCCTTGAAACTTTAGGGAGCAGTTCGACTCTGCCTGGTAGACTTGTTATGAGTCAGAACCAACGTGATGGCAGTGAATTATGTTAGCTCCTAATAATCACTGCTAACTTTCTAATGATAGAAATGCTCTGTTTCTGTTGTTGCTGTTATTTAAGTACCCAGTGTTTGTTTGGTAATTGAAGGGAAGTGGATCAAGAGGTGACATGAGAAAAGAAAGGAAGCCAAAAAGGGATGTATTATGATGCTCGCTGCCAGTGGACTGTTGAGACTTTTCCTGGCACACAGAAAAGAAACTGAGAAATGGGCATAGAAATCTAAAGCCTCACAATTATATTCTCAATGGGTGAAGTAGCTGGACTACTTAAACACAATTTCCTATGGATTCTGTTGACTGACGACTTCCCCTTTGATATATTAATTTCTCAACACTTATACTTAAATCCTCTGCCATTCTGGAAGGAATACTCAGAGTCAGAGACACAGGTCCTGGCAGTGGAGTGTTTTCTGCAGCAGTAAGGCCTGCAAGGTGGGGGAGTATTAGTGAGATGCCGTGAGAGAATCTGGTTTGTTTGGTAACCATTGTGTTTCTGGCACTTGACACCAGGCTTGGCATATAGTATAACTCAGTAAATATGCTTTGAAGAAAAGACCTTCCAGAACTTTCAGGATTAGGAGTTACACTTTTATGAGGCCTAAACATACTCCTGAAAACCATCTCTGAGAGCCATCAGTTTGCCAGGTCCTGTGCCAGGCTCTATAGAGGTGGAAAAGTGACTATCCATAGAGAGAGGTGTCGACAGAGAAAGTCCTCAGCGCCTTGCTCCGTTGAGAAACCACATGTGCAAGCCACAGAAAAGAGTAGCTTCTGGGCACACAGTGGCAGTCCAGTTTGTTCTTTATAAGAGTCTGCGCTTTCTAATACTGCTTTAACAAAAAAATCCCACAAGTAGGTAGCTTTGCAAAATAGAAACAGGTTTTCTTGAAGTTAAAGACACTAGAAATCTGAATTCCGAGCTTGCCTCTGGAGGGAAGTTTCTTCTTCTTTAGGTTCTCCTGGGCATGCAATTGCATTTGCCTTGTATGTTTATACTCATATGGCCTCTTCTTCCATATATCTGTGTGTGTGTGTGTGTGTGTGTGTGTGTGTGTGTGTGTATCTGTCTGCTCTTTTTGAACTCAGTTGTGATCAGATATCATACTCACTCAACTGTGCTGTAACCTGATTAACATAGCAAAAGAAAACCCTATTTCCAAACATAGTATGATTGAGAGGGTCAAAAAAAGAGAGGAAGACCGTCAGTGAGATGAAATGACATGATCGATGCAACATTGTCCTTGAATAGCAGAGGATAGAGCATAGTTTCTATCTGTTAGTCATAGGGTTGCTGTGATTCCCTATAAACAACAGATCAGAGTTGACTCCACAGCACCTAACATAAACAGGCTTTACAAACAGGCTCACACCCTCACATACAGGAGCCAAGAGTTTGATACAGTCATGTATTATGTCCCTTCAGGCATCATCTGACTAGTCTATACATCTGTGGGCCCATGCTTCTGCTGGGCATAAAATGCTACTTACATGTGTAACCTATAATGGATATATATTGTGCTGTTTTTATGTTCCATTGAGTCGGAACTGTCATAGCTGACCCTTCAGTGGATTTTCAAGGCTGTAAATCACATGGGAAGAGATTGTCCATCTTTCTTCTGAGAAGCAGCTGGCAGGTTGAACTGGATTGACAGTGCAGTTCTTTACCCAGTAGGCCACCAGACCTCCACATATGTGTTAATAGTAATGATTAAATGCCTATGATACTGGTTTATATATGTTCTGGTCTATATATATAAAAAGTTGGCCAAAATAAAAGAGATGTAAATCAAAACCAGAATAAGATATGATCTCACTCCAGTAGCAGTGGCAAAGTTTAACAGGACAGCAAATAATAAAGGATGTGGAAAGGATTTAATAATGTAGAGAATGTGACAAGATAGGAAATCTTATACATTGTTGGTGGGGTTGTAAAATGGTACAGCCACCCTAGAAGGCAGTGTGACATTTCCTCAGAAAGCTGAACATAGAAATTCTATATGACACAGCTATTTCACTGCTTGGAATACAC